GCCCGTTAAAATCTATCGCGGTGAAGTATAATGCTGAAGCAATGACTCCATTTTGAATATATGTATCGACTCATTTTGGATGAGACAAACCAGGTTTTATATTTCCTGCAAATCACTTACTCCTAATCAGTGTAGTTTTTCGCAGCGTTTATTGATGATTGATGTAAAAATGAAAATCATATTCTTTTAGCTTGTTTAGCGTTTCTTGACATCAGACACTTTTCATTTATTTCATAAATATTCGTTGTATCACCGTAACTACTTTTGATTAGTAAGTGTTATTACCAGTATATTTTATTTAGACTACCGTACGACTAGTTTTTTCAGCATTCATTCCGTAAATATTGTGAGTAATAGTTATTAATTGATTATTCGATTAATACTAGAACCCTCTAAGTTTGTATTTCATGAAGAATTTTGATTATTGTGAAATCATTGCAGAAACATCTATTACTGTCTTTTCGGGTTGAATATACCTTGTAGTTCTGCCTTCAATGCTGTTACCGGATTATCGTGACCGATCATAGTGTCTAGTGGGCATCTAGACACGTGGAGTAGATTGTTCGAGTGTTAAGTGAGGATAGAGGCTGCCGTCCGTAACTGGATTTACCATTTTAATATGTATTTGTTACATGCGTAGTCCAGAAACAAATTTGTGCTTCCTCAGAACAGTCTGTGTTATGATCTTTGGCCTCTTGTCTGGCTGTTTTCTAACAAACATTTCGTTTTACAATATCCTCAGTTATTTTCCGTACGTCATTGCCAACAGTTTCTTTTTCTGTCGTCTGATCTTGATTGTAATGTGGAACGTTACTCCAAGATGATACTTTATTCATTTGCTTTTAATTTTTGTATGTAGTCATGTTTGTTATTTGCTAAGCCAGCTACACGGTTTCAGTTATCACTTCTTTCTGGTCGCGGAGGCAGATACAGTTTTCTTAATCAAAAGTTTCAGTTCATCTGTGACTTTAATTGTAAATTATGTGAAGATCATGGCAATTCCGTGCTGCGACCGTTCCGAATAAGTGCTTCCGTGCCTCCTTACGAGTCACTGCATAAAATTCTTACGTCGATAGTGTTAATAGGCGAATAACTCACCCTCAGATTTCACGACTTGTTGTACCGTATTTTCTTCTAAATGCTTGTTGGAGGCATCTCAGTCAACACCGTGGCTTCATGGCATTTGAATATCTATCATACCAAACCGATCTCGCGTCATTTTATTCGTTGAAGCAATCGCTTGCGCATATCGAAGGATATTTACCTACTTATATATCATGGTAATATGTCCTGCTTAAATGGCTCCCTGGACAACTAGAGGCAGAGAGGTGTTGCAGTATGCCATGAACCAGTTGGGCCCTAAGGAACCTGGTGCTTGATGCTGATCTAGAGGGCAGTCGAAAATTACAATGGATCAAGTTCCTTGCAGAGTAGGGGATTGGTCCCGATGGCAGAAGAGTGGGCTTTAACAGAAGACATTACACGATGAGATCCATCAGTAGTCGCAGAATCTGGGAGCATATTGAGTCACAGCTTTAGTTGAAAAATGTGGAGGATCGTAGTCATCACTACTTCGAACTGACAGTTTAGGTTAAGTCAAGTTTATTCGTATATATTTTATCCAAAAATTCGTTCCGAGTTTCTTCCTGGTTTTGAACTTTGAACTTTGAACAGACTTTTGACATCATCAACTTTTTGCGAATATCTGTAACGCGTAGGTCTCTTTCTGGCATGATGGCCCCATCTATCCCACTGTCTATAAGATGGACGGACAATGCATATCCATTATGAGTTCCTACAGTACTTTCGTAGGGAGGCCCCAGGCGCTTCAGTGAGATTAATGAATAACTTGTTTTCTTCCAGACTGCTTTGCGTTCTAGGGAAAATTCCTTTAGATTATTTTTTCTGGCTTGGTATGCCTCCGATTTGATAATTGCTTGCTCCTCACAGAGTTGTACAACCCTTTTCCATCTGTTATTACTGACTGTTGCGTGGCTCATCAAAAATCTTCTCTTTATCAAGTAGTATGTTTCAAATACAACTGCGAGATTCTTTTTTTAAATTCTCTTTCACCTTTTGACTTTCTTTATCTTTGTAGGGTGTCGTTAGAAAATGCGTCAGGCGCCGGTAGAAATATTTAGCTTCGATTACGGCGCGATAAGTGCTTATGCTTGGAACAAGGACCGAAGTCGTGAGTATCTGTGCAATACTTCTGGTCATATGTGTGGTTTCTGATGATATGATCACTGTTATCATTTTAAATCTGATTGCCGCATTATTGTCATAAACGTATTCATTTGTTATATTTTCATTATGATCAAGAATGCTGTTGTCCGTTTCGTTCTCGTGGAGCCTTTTCTGACGTGCTGTAATGGCATGCGTGTGAACCCAATCTAAAACGAAAAGCCTAGCGTTACTCGTTCTCCTGCCCGTTGTTCTCTTCAGGTTAACAGGGAGGCATTGGAGCAAGTGGAGAAGTTCAAGTACCTCGGAGTGATGGAAAATTTGAGGAAGAGGTCGACCGTCGAATTGAAGTAGCCAGTGGCGTTCTGCGTGAATTAGCCCGACCCATTGTGACTAAAGCAGAGCTCAGTCTGAAAACT